GCAATTTGTTTTCGTGAAAACATTGAGATGTCTTGAACGCATCCTCCAATATGTGACTCTGCATCAATCCTGGACACATTTCAAGCTGACAAAAATCAACAAAACATAGTTCTAAAAAAGGAGCGGGCGTGCATCGATATGCGAAGTACAAGAGCCACCACGAAGGTCACCACCATGAAGGAAATTGAAGACAAGATAAAATTTACTGGATATCAGTGAAGGTGAAGTTGATCTGAGAAATGGTGGTGTAGTTGAAACTGGTGGACCAGCTGTGAAGGAATTTGATGATGTTGTTGAACCTATAGTGGATGGGTCAGCAGGCATACCAGTGGGCACCGGTGTTGTGGTCCAACCTAGAGTTGAAGGCACTGTTGAACCTAACTCAGGTGTAGTTGATGGTTCATTTGAAATGAATCCTGTAGAACCGGTAGATGCCACTGTTGATGGTTCATTTGAAATGAATCCTGTAGTACCGGTAGATGCCACTGTTGAAGTGAACCCTGTAGTTGGTAAAACTGTTAATTGGGCCAGACCATGTGCTACAATGTAGTTAAGTGGAATCCACTGATCTTACCGACTTGGCAGAAAATACACCAGATCTCTAGTCACTGAATCTTATTTACACCATGCAGCATTTGTTAATGTGCCTTTACTGAAATAGAATCGAGCATAAAGCGTATACACGTAGAGGGCAACAATCCGAGCATTACAAACAACAGGCCACCGTTTTGTCAATGGAATGTGGATGTGGATCCGGGCCAAATTTTGGGACTTTCAATTTTGGCAAAAAAGGATATGCCAACCCCAGCGAAAAAAAAAAAAAATTATAAGCATTACTTATCAAATGTTACTGGATTATATGGACATGCTCTGGTCTACATTAATTTACTCCTATCACTGGTTACGTGTAGGTAGCTTTTGTAGCAATTGGTTAGTGCTTGAAGCCCGTTGATGGAATGGGCGAGGCTTCATTTGAAAACAAAGGTGCTTGGCAGCACCGTCCACTGACATTTGAGTCTTTATCTTTTTCTACTGATTAAAATAGTTGTACAGTGTAAATCTTAGTACATGTATTGAAAGAAATGATAAAATTTGTTCCCATCATAACAAAAATCCTGTCATAGCGGACCACCATCATAACAGACTGTTGTTTTAACTCACGTTTCCCAGCGGGAAAATATAAACCCAACATTTATACCATAGATGCAGCTTTACAGATGTGAAAATTCTATGGCGTTGGTCTACAGGGGTTGTGGTACGTGATTGCACAAGATGATGGGTATTAATGGAAGCACATTCAATGTAGATGCATAGACACTGGAAGCTGCTATAATGCAAGATAATTATACTCATCTTGAATTCCAGAAAGACTAAAAGGGCAACCTGGGAGGATTATACTTCTTCTCACAAAAAAAAAACCAAAGGGTTCCAAAATGTCTCACTCGTTCCTTACACACTCGTATGAGTTATTTCCCCCAAATGGCTCCGCTTGTTGCTAAAGAGTAACATCAAAAACTGTCCAATATGCCTCTATTCTGCTTCCAATGCCTATGCAAAATGATAGTTATGAGTGGTTATGTGATGTGTGTTTCTTTTATTTACCTGTTGTGTTCTTGCCATCAGGTTGTGTTGGTTCTGGAGGAGGTGGTGTGGGGACTGTAAGTTCATACAATACAGATATATAATGATGATGTTAATAACACTGGTGTGTTAAAGCAAACATGCAAAGCTCCATGTATTGTATTGTATAATTTATAACATCTTCCCCGACTTGGCACTGCAACCTTGAATTGGCTTGAGTAATTACCAATCAACAAATCTATACAGGAAGAAAAGTTCCTTAGGATGCTGTTAGCACTGGCAAAGCATTTTCCAAGACTGATGACAGCATAAATTATTTGTATAATTTGGAAGACGTGAATCAAACTTCAAGCATGGCCGCAGCTACAAATTTAGATGATTAAATTGTTTACCTACCATACAATTACATTTTCATGGGAAATGGGCATATCATAAATAATCTTTTTAGACGCATTGCATGTGATTCCATTCATGGTGAGATCATTATTGGAGTCGTGAGCTTCTTGCAATAGCCTAGTGTTAGGCCTGGTGACATGATAAAGATATTTTTTTTGTAGGTAAAATAATTATAAACTTTGGTGCGTGGGTCTTTTGGGTTGGAGAACAAAGTGTGACATATGACCATATTATGAAAAGCATGAATGCCTTGCTAGCAGTTACTCTACATAATATTTGTTGTTGGATGTTTCACTACTGCAGAAAGGTTGAAATCATTTCGATGTATTTTGCCAAAAATATGAGCAAAAAATGTTAGTTTGGACGTAACATTGACACAGTGTCAGTGTTACGTCCAAATATGACATTTGTACCTGTTTTTTAAATTTCTGCGAAACATTACCCAAATTCACTTTGCGTACTTCTTACTATACATGCAACACAAAGAGTAAAGCTTTTGTTTTGGTAGTCAGGTATCAAATGGAGCAGAAATGATAGCTTGGTTGTGTGGACGTAACATTAACACGGTGTAAAACCCAAATGTCACACTACCATTGAGTGATTTTTACACTGTTACATCCACACTTGAGGTATTGTTTCTGCTATATTTGAAATTTATAACCAAATATATGGATGTAACATGCACTGCTTCCCAACCCGATGGAATGACCCACATACTTCTGGGAAGTTACATTGTAAAAAATAAATGCCTTGAAGTACAAATTTAGATGTAAATTCTTGTGCAACCATTGATCCAGTCTATCTTATTTATGTGCATTACCTAAGTCAAAAAATGACAAGTTTAAAATGTTGAGATATAGGCCTAATAACATTTAAAAACCACTTTAAACATACCAACAAGATGTTTATTGTTAGGGCCTATATACAGGGTGACCCAAAAAATGCAACCCTCAAGCATATGCCTTAAAAAAAAGAGATTGGTGGATTTTTATGTTTTCGGTATCACATTGGGTATCAAATACTGAGAAAAAAAACAATCATGAAAAAAGCACTTTGGGTTGCTGAGAAAATGCCAATTACGTAAAAGTAGTAATTTTCCATCCGGTACACAAATACTTTAAAACAGTGAACATTGTACTGTAAGCCTACTGTGCAATTATTCACTTTTGAATAGCATGTCTTGAATATTTTGATACATGTATATTTATGATGCTGTAAAAGGTTTAAAATAGGACTCAAAAAGATGAGATACCTGTTCTGGTGCAAAATAAAATGTCCATCAAATTCATTTGTACTCCTGTGACCCAGGCGTCAATCGGTGGGGGACGGGAAAATAAAAACCCATTATGCAACTTTACAGATGTGAAACTAGTATGGAGGGTGACTGCTCTATGTTCCGACACCCCTATGTTCCGACAACCTAGGTTGTGTTACTCCCAGTTAGGGCTAGGGTTAGGGTTAGGGTTAGGGTTAAGGTTAGGAATAGGAATATGTGCAGTCGGAACATAGGGGTGTCGGAACATAGAGGTGTAACCGTATGGAGTTGGCCTATAGGGGCTACGGTATGTGATTGCACAAGATGATAATGGAAGGTGGTCTACACTATGTTCCCCAATACCAATGTTCCCCAAAATCCTTAGGATAAGGGCGAGGGTTAGGGTTAGGGTTATAGGGTAAGGATTTTGGGGAAAATCGGTATTGGGGAACATACATGTAGGTATGTACGCAATGGAAGCACATTCAATGTAGATGCATAGACACTGGAAGCTGAACTTGCTATAATGCAAGATAATTATACTCATCTTGAATTCCAGAAAGACTAAAACGGCAACATGGGAGGATTAGGCCTATACTTCTTCTCACACAAAAAACAAAGGGTTGCGAATGCCTCACTCGTTCCTTACACACTCGTATGGGTTATTTATTTCCCCCAATTAAATGCCTCTGCTTGTTACTAAAGAGTAACATCAAAAACTGTCCAATATGGCTCCATTCTGCTTCCAATGCCTATGCAAAATGATAGTTATGAGTGGTTATGTGATGTGTGTTTCTTTTATTTACCTGTTATGGGCTTGCCATCAGTACCTGTTGGTTGTGTTGGTTCTGGAGGAGGTGTTGTGGGGACTGTAAGTTCATGCAATACAGATATAATTATGATGTTAATAACACTGGTGTGTTAAAGCAAACATGCAAAGCTCCATGTAATAGGTATTTCCGTCAAATTCTTTTGTACTCCTGTGACCCAGGCGTCAATTGGTGGGGAATAAAATTTGTACCCTATTAATTTTTTATAATGATTTTGTAGCTCAGAATAGCTGATTCAATGACTCCAAACTCGAAAATGATGTTTAAGAGATGATATTTTGCTAAAACAAAATTGGTTTTAGTAGTCAGAAATTGCCTCAGATTGCACCACATAGCGTCTAGAATCCCCCCCCCCCCAAAAAAAAATTGGGCCCTTAAACGGGCCCCGAACCCCGAAACCCACGCCATTAGGGCTTCGCGCTCACATTAGTGCTCATCAAGGTACATGTATGTTCCCCCTCCCACTTTTGAGAAGCCATTGAAGCCCTTGCTCTTGTCATAATATGTGCCGTGTTGTTTGTAAGGATTCGGACATGCACAAATTGGTATAGTGAAAATCCCTTATTACTATACCTCATACATATTCATGATCGAGAGCCGAACGTTCACTGGTCAATTCACCATCACGTGCCAGATGTTATTCTTGCTGTTTACCAAACGCGCGCGAGAGGATTCACGCACATTGTTAATACGCATGAGTAGTAGACTGTCGCATGGGTTACCCGTGCGACAGTCTACTACGCATGCGTTCTACAGAGCAATCGAGATACTGTCGCACGGGTGCAGTACGCACGCGCGAACATCGCACAGGAGAGATGCATGGTTGCGCGGTTCGCGTTAATTTCCAGAGCTCAATGATGCCGTACTGGAGAAAATGTATAGACCGTGTAAAGATGTCTCCTGTACAAAAGAAAGTTGTACACATTGCAAACAACTGTATTTACATGTACAACTGTAGTAACTGTATTATATTGCAAACGAACCGAACTAGTAATTGAAGTTGAATCTTTTGGTGAGCTGTACAAGTTTCCCCGAATTTTGTTTTAGGTGCATAATAATAAAACAAAATTCGGCAACTGAATATGTATGAGGTATAGTAAAACAAAATATAACATGGTTTATTTCGGGTGGACAGTTGATATTAGCTCCCCTCGGTACTGGAAGTTGACAAACTAGTTCCCTCGGCTTCGCCTCGGGAACTACTGTAGTTTGTCAACTTCCAATACCTCGGGGAGCGAATATCGACTGTCCACCCTCAAACCATGTTATATTTGTATACTGTGGTATTTTTTTGGTGTACAGGAGAAAAAAATGACTACTGTTACATAATTGGCATTTCTCAGCAACTTAAGAGTCATTTCGTGTAAATACTTCATATACATGTAAGTGTCCACGCTCAAAAAAAATCGAATTTTTTTATACTTTGTGGGATGAAAGGACTTTGGGAGTAAGTAAGCAATTTTGAGGCTGCAAAAATTAATTGTTTGCATTATTTTCAAACGTCATCAAGCCAAACTGCAAAGTAATGTCACAAAAGTAACTATATCAGGACAAAGTATCATCCTTACCCTTACAAGAAAAAAATTATACTATTTTTAGACCCTATAATACAGCATGTTTTTACAACTAGCAAAATTGCATTTTTAACCCCATTTTTATCCCTCCAAAATGACACTTGCCAGGGCACTCAGAATAATTTCCCTTCCTTCTCCAGTGTTCATTATGAGTAACTAACCCTCCCCTCCCAAAGAATCGTACAGAATATGTATTATTGTTAAGGTTACATGTTAATTGCCTTGCGGAAAGTCCACTTTTTTACATACACTATGTACATGTACTAGGTTTCACTATTTTTTTGTCAACGTGGGAGCGGTTTGGAATATCTGGAAAGCGCATGGGGGGGGGGGTGTAATGTGGATACATGTACATGGTACATATGTACATAATGCTAATTTTTTTTTTTACACTGTAATTGCATTTATTTTATTATTTTCAATACAGAGAAGTGATATGGCGATTACGAGAGCAAATAACTCGTATTTTTATATTAAAATACATGTACTTTAAAACAACTATCACTCTAGTGAAAACTCAAAATGGCCTCTATATTGATTGATTGAATTGAATGTGTAAATATGGTCAGATCAAGCACATATAAAGTCGAATATAGTACCGTTATGGGTGCTGCTATGCCCTCCAAAATCATAATTTCGTAATCAGCATGACATTTTGAGTCTCTTCCAAACTGTCATCAGCAGTCAACATGGCCACACTTCTGTGGTGCATCCATTGTTACATGGCAAGCAATCTAAATGTATTGGTGCTTATAAATTACAGCCTCAAAATTGCCGAAAAATGGCCAAAACACATAATGGCCGGTAACCATGGCAACGGGCAAAATAAAAGTTTAAAAAGTCTATTTTGGTTACTTGCTCCCAAAGTCCTTTCATCCCACAAAGTTTTTAAAAATTCGATTTTTTGAGCGTGGACACTTGTATGAGGTATTTACACGAAGTTACTCTTAAAGTACTATTTTCTTGATTGTTTCACTATTTAAAAGAAGAAAAGCATCAGCTTTAATCTGATACCGTACCCAAAACATAAAAATTCACCAATCCGTTTGTCTATAAAAAGGCAACTGTTTAAGGGTTGCATTTTTGTTCACCCTGTAGATAAAAAAAACTAAATTACATTTGGATGTGATACAAAGCTGGGATGCGACTTATAAATCTAGTGTTGTATAAATATTTTTAAATGAGTAAAATGAAAGGAAATGCTGATTTGTATAGTCTGAACCGGTCATGTTATTTAATATTGATCATGAACAAGTCATATCATAAAAAAGAGCAAGACAATTCAAAATGAGAAGCAGTAGTGCCTAATTGGCATGTTAAATGTTCTCGATCAGGGGAACAAATCCTTCCAAAGTACAGGTTTGATCATATAGAACACAAAGAAAATATGATCCTTTTTCTTTTAGAAAATGAAAATGAGAGTAAAGATGCTTGAAGACTAGGTCTATAGCTTGGAAAAACCCATAAAATATTTTGAGACAATGATATGTTTCATATCGCAGTATTATTTCCTAGTTTTATTTTCGGGGGAAAAATTGCAATAACTTCCTCATTTTCAAAAATGAATCCAAATAATAACCACTCTGTATTTATTTTTGCTTTTGTTGAATTTTTCTAAGGTTATTTTTTTTACAATATATCCTTGTTGATGAAAAGATTTATGGCGCACATAATGCATCTGCAATGTAGGTGGTCCTGTATGCGTTCACTGCATATAAACCACAGACGCCATGGTGATTTGGCATTCTGCCAAGAACCCAAACATATACATGTAGCACATACACGTAGCGCGGGCGAACAAAATTATCCTGGCTACCAAACACAGTCATACTATTCATGCATAATACAAGTGCAGCTATAATAAACTTCCCCCTTGACCTTTCCTAGGTACAATGCCACTGGTTCCCGGTCCCTCTATTCACTGCGGTTTGTGGGGCCGGAACCAGTCCAGGGCATGATGTCATTGGATAACCTCATGCTGGGGAAAGTCCCTTTTGGCTCCCAGACTGGGCGTTGTTTATATAAATTATGCATAAACACACAGACCTTTGGCTTGGTACAGCCTCTGTGAGCAGTGAGGGATAGCATAAAGCTGCAATGAAGAACAATGACTTGCAACACTTTACTGCAGCATATGTAGGCCGTTTGTGTAGCCAGTTGCCCGACAACCACTGATGACTAATTTGTTTTCATCTAAACAGAGTTGTTGTGCATCAGAAAATATAATCCCCCAAACTAAAAATATGTCCATAATGAAATATATTTCTCTGAAGCATTTTTTGCACATAATTATTTTTCACAGTGTTGGGCAACTGCTGATACCCTTGTGGGTCACATGCTGACCACATTCTCTAAGTCTGAGGTTGTATGTTCGGTTTTATGTCCCTGTAAAATCTGGATAACTGACCATGCTCCTTCAGTGAAGTAGCACGCAAAAGGCCTAACATTTTCTTTTAATGTAATTCTGGTGGTCTTTCAATTCTGTAAATTAATCGGTTTCAAAATCTGGAACACTATAAAAGCAGAGAGATTTCCACTGAGCACAACAACAAACTGGCTTTAATGTAGCTTATTTTTAGCACATACATGTATGCAGTATTGCCCTATCAATGTTCAAATGCCTTTTCGAGATTCAGTTTCCTCTTTCATCATTCTGAAACCAAACCAAGATTTACAGCGGAACGCCAACATGTACTTTAAAAACACATGAACCATGAGTCATTGGAAAATAGAAATCAAGACAATCCGTTGACGGAGATTAAAAAACCCACATGTTTACCAATGTAAATGGTACATGCATGTCATTTTTCGTTTAAAGGTTTTTTTTTATGACTGAGTGTACCCATACATGTATAAGCCCTAATGTATTGTTCATCAAAAACAACACATTTAATTGTAGAAAGAAAAAAAAACATTTTAGTTTGAAGGGAGTAAATGACTGACCAAATACTAATACCAAATGAACTCACAAAAAAATCTTGCCACAACTGGTCAAAGCGATATACACATAGCTGATATTTTCAAAATGAATTCAAACCAGACAAGTTAAATCATTATACATGTAAAAAAAGGTTAAAAGATGGAGTACTGAAAGGATTGTTATAATTTAGAGATACATAACATGTACATGTACATGTCTATAGATACACGTACATGTATACCATCAAACAGCATTATCACTATCGACAGCTTAATACACATGTACCATAGGTCTATCAACAACACCGGAAAATATAAGCACCATTATCTACAGAAAAGGTTAAATATTAACAATGTTTTCATAATTAACACCGCTTTCAGTTAACACTATCAGCATTTTTACTGATGTTCAATGAATCGATTCTGTATATGTCGTAGGCCTATTATAAGCAAGTCAAAACTGAGCTATAACTAAATGTGTTCAGTAATAACATTAAAATGACTGAATGGTTCAATATTTTTCCTTCTGTTTCCAGTATGTACAGGTAGATTAAAATGCTTTCCTCGGAGTGGTCACGTTTTAGCCCATCAAGACGAACTATTGTGGTGTTATACAAATAACGCCCGAAAATAGATATGTACATGTATATGAAAATTAATATCTTTTTCCTTTAGGGGTAATTATAAGTCACCCGCTTACATTGTATAAGTAATAATATACGGAAACTTCATTGCTATGATTAATCACCATGGCAACTGCACCTATAATGGGCAGTAACCATGACTACAGTTTGCATTAATAAACAGCACACGCTATGTCAGCACAGGGCGGTTTTCCTGCAATTTCCCTTTATTGCCATTGAAATTCTCTGCATCTTTGTGTCTGCAATTATGGGTGTGGCAGAAACTGGGAATTATTCGTGTGACATAATTTATGTCAGAAAAAAAGGCCCAATTTTTAAGAGAAAAGACAGTCACAAAATACCTCATTAAATTTTCTGCAATGTACATGTGTACATGTACATGTATACAGTTGTACCCTGATAAGAAGAGCACTGTTTATACAACATCCTGCTTATAACAAGGAAAATGTTAGGCCCTAAGTCTGTTTTTCTTCTTTTTTCTGTGTTTTCCATTACTGATAATAAAACTATAACAAGGTAATTTGTTAAGTCCCAAGGACCTTGTTATGTGGTGTTCTACTTTACATAACTTTAAATAAGGAAGAAGACACCAGACAGTCATGACAGTAAAAACACTTATCTTTAACTTGTGTGTGTAAATTTATTGAACAGCAATAACAAGTTATAACAATCTTAACAATCTTAAATAAGGAAGAAGACACCAGACAGTCATGACAGTAAAAACACTTATCTTTAACTTGTGTGTGTAAATTTATTGAACAGCAATAACAAGTTATAACAATCTTAACTGTTTTAAAACATAAATTTGTAAACATGAAAAAATGCCCTTTACCTGCAACAGCACTGGTAAGAAATAACACAATGTTTATTGAGTGTAATCCGTTCTTGATTTACAAATTACACAACTGGCCATAATAACAACATCTCTTTCAACAACATCAAATGCATTAACTTTTTGAAAACTTTGGCCCTCATGCCTTCTAACTAGAATTTGAACTTGAACAAGCAAAACTGATCATATTTCACTTATTTTGTTGCACGATAGAGAGAAATACTGTTTGAGACTCTTACAAACAACCCTGTCTCAACATATAAAACAAGTGAATTTTAACAATAAACCTGAGATTAAAAATGTGCATTGCATTTTTGCATTTACAGACTGATTGCAATGTGGTTAAAACCAAACAAAACAATTAAGAACGCCCTGTTGATTATAGGATTAACCTGAAAATAAAAAGAACTTGTTTCATCAGCTGCAAAAATCAGAATGTTTTTCCTTCTTTAGTTTGGAATTAAATACTACATTAGCTGATGTAAAGCATCATAATATATAGAACCATCTCAGAAAATTAATATCAAGAGCCTTTTTTATATATGTTTTAGAAAGTTTGAAAGTCCCCATCACCCTCATCTTTTGTATTTTACACTGCACTCCAAATGAGCCATCAACTTTATTTTCTCAGTCACTACCGCTATGTTAGCCAATGATGTACTCAAAATAATTAATTCCATGTACATGTACACAAAACAAATAATGCACATTTGTTTTCATTTTCAGCATTTCTCAACCTACCCGTGTATCACTTGCACATGTGTTAATATTTTTTCAGGAACTTAACTATCTCATGCATCATGGATTACATACATTTGTACATCAGCGTTGTGGCTGGAGATGACCCACATCATTAATTGGGTCAAGTCTGGTCACCTACAAATGTTTACAAGGTGAAACACGAGGACATTGACAAAGCCCCAAACAAAACTTGCACAATAAATGACTGCAGTTGCATGTAGAAATAGGCATGACTGGTAAAGAGCTAGGAACCTCATCAAATGGTCAGGTCACTTTAGACATACATATGTACCGGGTCAACAAATAACAATGCATATTAAATATTCATATCACAAACTGAAATTCAGCAATGTGGTATACATACATACATGTACTGGTAGTTAGCATACAGGTATAATGTACATGTACTGTACATGTACACACATGTGCACGAGCTACATACTGTACATGTACCAGAGTATAGGCCCTATCACAGGGTCCTGTGGTCAGTGAACAGTAACCTCATGACCTGAAAGGCAAGCAGACAGCAGAGTGCAATGACCTGACTGACCCCACACAAATAAACACAGTGGGAACCTTGTGGTTAACCATGGAGCTATCCAAAAAAGCTAACTGTCAACAGTTAACCAGTAATCTCCAACAGTTATTCATTAATCCTCTGAGGACTATTTACAGGATGACTGTATAAGAGAATTCCCACATCTAAATGGAGGGACTGGGCAATAATTAATGCCCTGAATTCATCCAGCTACAGGGTGCAAATCTATATGAACTGTTTACAGCACAACACAGTGTCACACAATACAAGTGAAGTGACCATTTTTTACTGTCTAGGAAATGGGTGTAACATAATATTATCAACCTATACATGTACAAAAATGTACATGAGTGTACACTGAATTCTTCCCACTTCAGTCATAGAATGCAGTATGTTTATTAATTCAAGAATTTACAGACCTGCTACTATATGTATTCTGTATTCTTTTCAAATGGGATTGTGTGTTATTATTTATGTGATTAGAAAACCTGGTATTAAACATTTAGGCGAAGTAAAAAAAAAAAACATGTTTAGCGTCCCCGCCCGCTTCCTTTTTAGAGGCCGCCTCCTTTTTTTTTTTTTTTTTTTTTTTTTAAAAGACAAAAATTGATAAATTTTAACGATCTCTGACGAAAGAAATCGTATTTTTAGACTTTTATACCGTGTATAAAGCTGTGGAAATAGTCAATGAGTCCAAGTGGCGGCCATTTTGAAAAAAGCTGGTAACCATCTTGAAAAATAGCCCGGCCGCGTTGTCTTGAAAAATGTGTCGGGCGGCCATTTTGAAAAAAAAAAAAAAAAAAAAAGGGCCTCCTCCTTCCTTTTTGTCAAAGAGGCAGGACGCTAAACATGTTTTTTTTTTTTTTTGCCTTATAGGACCATGACTTCACTGAATTCATTAACATTCTGTCCAACTCCAAACCTTTCACGGTTTTTGGGTGTGTTTTGTGGCAATTGTGGACCGGTAGGACAAAAGGGTTAGGGCACAAAACATACGCCCACAATTGATCGATAGTCCACGACTGAAATTCGTGTACAGAACCAATGACATGAATGAGAGCTGTTGCTAAAAAGTTAACAAAGGAATGAGGATAAGGGACAATAGCGTGTCTATGTGGGAGTGTTGGGCTGTTTGTTTGTTGGTTTTTTGTTTTTTTTTACGAAAACAAGACTGTGAACCCCTGCAACTACTCAATATACATTCATGTACTTTACTTTCAAAGTAATATATGCGGGTACCATACACTGTATAAATAGCAGCATAGATAGCACACTATTTGATTTGGGTGGACTCTTGTTATTCAGGAAGCATGGAGTTACATTTAATCTTTCTGACATCCGTCTTGATTTCCCGTTCCCAATAATTGTTTGAACACATTGTTTTATAACAGCCTGATGATCTCCTTTTGTTCACTGCAATGAAGATGCAAAAGTCTCTTTTAAAAAAGGGTGTTTCATTCGGACTCTCCGACTAATTCGTATACTTCCATGACAATTTAAAATACGATTTACTTTTTTCTACTCAGATTGAGCTTTCTTTGTGCACAATTTGGTTTTTTTTAATATTAAGCAACCAATGTATGAGTTAGGTAACTAACAATGAATCCTTTTTAATCCTTTTTAATTATGCTAATCATATAAACTTCAATAAAACATGACTGACCAAAAAAAAAACAAACAAACAAACAACAAAAATAACAATTGTACACTCTTCACGTGTGTGCATGGGTGAATGCATAATTGCACACTATGCCTACAGGTAATCTCATTACATGTATCAGGGATCATCTCAAAATATGTAGTATTTCTTTCTCAATGCTTTCAAAATTTAATGGGAACACTTTTTAGAAAACACAATTAACATGACCCTGCTCAATGGAAAACGTTATATTTACAGGGTGTATCCAAATGGTAATTGGAATATGGTTTCCCTGTTAAACATGGTAAACATCGAACCAAAAGTAACAACGAGAATACCGGTATCATCTGAGATCCCAGGCCGCTCCCATTGGAAACAGTAGGCCTATGTCATGATCTTAATTCACGTACTCTCTTAATTCAACAATATAAAGCAGCAAAACTTATTTGTTGGATTTTTAGTTGAACAACAGGCAAGCAAAAGTGTATTGCTGTAACTGTGGGATCCTAGCTTTAAACTTTAAAGCTACTCTATGCACATTGCAGTCTATACATTTGTATGAAATGGATTCAGCTATAAATTTGTCTCTTGCAAAATACTACGTTGGAGCAAAGAGCAGGGAATATGGTTGGAGAGACGTGTTAAATGTAAGAAGAAGATCAGAATTACCTGTCAAGTGTTCAAAGCCTTCTGAAATTCAGACAAATTACAATGTGTGTTACCAACTTCTAAGAGGCATCTTGGGGTGCACCATTTTCTCAAGGGGGCCCCTGAAGGCAACCAATATTGTTATGTGCAATTCAAGAATTTAAATAGAGGGAGGGGGAGCAATTTCGCTGGGAATGCACCCCGCCCCCCCCCCCCCAACCCCTAGTTACACGCCACTGTACACATGTACATGTACATGTATGTTACCAAAGAGAAACACTCAGTTGTCCCTGCACTTGAAATAACCACATGCATGGTCCTTTGACAAAGGGCACAAATCAAGTATGTACACCCACAGGGCTGCTTCTGGTGTACTTTTTGAGATACAGTTTACTGCATTCAATCACCATTATTACATTTGACAATGGAGTTACTGAAGGAAAGTCTTGCTAGCCAGGAAACCTTGTGGCAAGATCACCAAGGTCATGGAACACAAAAAACTGGGGATTTGCATAAAGAGGCAGACACCAGGAAATGCAACCAAAGTCCATATTTGTTGATGATTTGTCATACAAGCTATACAAGCACCACTGAACCATGCTTCAACTTACATGTAGCCTAAAATAATACTATCCAAACCTTAATAAAATCTTGAAACTACTTTATCAAGTCATCATGTACCAATGTAATTGCCTTTGTATATTAATGTGGTAGCAGTGAATCCATGTTTCATTTCCAGTGTAAAGACAACAGAGCATTAAATTTACGGTACATCATGACTCATAGGCCTACCATCAATGCAAAGTGTATGTGTCACATACAGCTACAGCCACTCCTAATCAATTCCTAATGCATGATGTATCAAATGCTTTCCCATTTGCAGGAACATTTGTACATACACATGTACATGTATATGTACATATGTACATGTGTACATTGTACATTTACCAGCACGTCATTCAATGAAAGGGTATATGTCTGGGAAGAGCTGAACTCGTGAATGTAGATGTACATGAACACAGCATCACAGACACAACTTGTGTCAATGTGACACTACAATCAACATGAACTGAGATCAGAGTAGAATTAGAAACAAATATATTTTTTCGGCTATAATCATGTTTACAAATGTATGTGCACATGGCTGAAAGGGGAGGGGCCGGGGGATGGGGGAGGGTGGCTTGAACATGCACATGATTGGATTTTCAATAATTCACTTAGGAAAGTTTTTAGTTTTTAATTTAAATGAGGGTCTTTCCAGCATGCAAAATATGAAGTACATGCATGTTGTCCACATGGGTACAGTTGTCTAAAATGAGAGAGGGGCCTAGCGTGAGCTAACAATGAAAATTGTTGGATATTGAATTATTTTGCAAATTTTGACATTGAATTATTGATCTCCATCATGTTCATGTGTCTAATATAATATGCACATAAATTTGTCTAAAGCTTTATACTAAATATTAAGCAAATATTCCGCAAAGAGTCTCCGAACCCTCAAGATGGCATCCAGTGGCTGATGCAATGCTCAGTCACTATAGGACAACTGGAATGTTCATCTGCTAGGTCTGTGCCTACCGGTAGATTGGTAAAAAAAAAAAAAAAAAAACCTACATGTACCTAAACTACTTTGTACCAGTGAATGTTATTCCTCACGATTTTATGGATGGTAATTCTTATCAGTGTGACAACTCGCTCATGCAGGTTCATTTATCCACACTGACAGGGGGACACTTAAATCCCATGGCTGAACATATAAACTGCAGTCAAAGCAAGACAGGCAAGAATCACATCCAGTCTGTACAGGATACTCCCAGCTCCACCTGAAAAACATAAAAGATGGAGGTGTAAATGTGGCTTGGGGGGGGGGGGGAACACTTATTCTCTCAAGGCTGGAATTAGCAAAACTTTCAGTGAAATGCGTAAAAAAAAAAATATTGTATCACAGACTTGTTTCAGAGTGAAATAGCAATTGAAGTTCAAATTTAATATTGTGTTAACATTTACAATTGTTCCTACCGATATTTTGTTGAGATTCAAAACGTTAATCAACTCACATTTTGTTTCTCAACAAAATACCGTAGGAACAATTGTAAATCTTTTTGACTGAATCTGGATGCATATACATGTACGTACATGTACATGTGACCTCAAAGTAAAGCAGATTTATGTTAAAAAAACATCAACCACCATCAATCTTTCCAATCAGCAACTTTTTTTTTACAAAATATACATTGAGGTAGAACTAGAACAAATTTGAATGGGGCAGAAAGCAGGCATGGAGGAAGAAAATGGCCTGAACATGCAATGAATGTAAAGTACATGTAAAGGGGAGGGGGCGCAGAGTGGCACCGCAACCTTGATAATGGCAATGATCCGATTTGCTTATACATTAAAGTAACATGCAAACTCAAATACATGTACAGCTGAGAGCCAGGTACTGCACGTGTAGCGGTACTTGAAGCAATATGCATTGTATGACATTTTGGCCAACTTGTCGTGTACCTGTTTTTGTTAACAAAATCTGTACAAGTAAGGCAACCAAATATATGTTAGCATCCCTTTACATTATAGACCATTTGGGGGAGCAAGGCTTGAAAAAACAACACCTGTGTGCACTTTCCCTGTTTACAGGTTTAGTGCAGTTTTTCTTCCATGATTGTTTCCAGCAATAATTTGGGGTAATATACTAAAGTATTGTATCTGAAATTGAGGACTAATCCCGTAGGCTTTCCCCTGTACATTCCTTGTAAGTTGTACTCACACCTATGTGGGCCAACATTTTGTATACAATGTACATGTACGGTGTATGTACCAGGTAGGACCAAAAGTGAAGCTGCTAAAATACTGTAAGCAGATACATGTAGTACATGTAAAAATGTGAAAACTTGCTGTCAATGTGAAGTTATAGGCCTATAGTTCTTCCTTGACCACTTCAAAGTTAAAAGCATTAGAGTGGCTATCAACACAGATACCGGTACATGTACGGTATGTATGCATGACAGAGCATGCAAAATGCA